GCGGCACGGTGAGGGACTGGGGCGATGGGCGAGCGGCACTGGTGAGGGGACTGGGCGATGGCGAGCGGCTCTGGTGAGAGGATTGGGCGATGCGAGGGCAGCTGGTGAGCGACTGGGGCGAATGGCGAGGCGGCACTGGTGCACGCGGCGACCGGGCCGCACGCATGTTGAGCGGCACTGGTGAGGGGGCTGGAGCGAGGCGATCGGACACGTGTCGGGTACGGATGCGAAAGCGCGCCGCTGCCGGCGAATGCGGAGCGTTGGGTCTGCGACGCACCAAGTGACCGAGGCCATCTCCTCCGGCGGGGCCACACTACGCCCAGCATTAGCTCCAGCGCCTGCGCTCTTCTGCACCCGACCCTCCCGCCCCGCGGCCCGCCGCAACGGGCTCACCCGTGAGCGCGCCCTGGTGCAGCGGTTAATCGGAGCTATGCTATCACCGGCGCTAGTTCTCATCTCCCTGGCAAACAACTGAAATAATTTTTGAAAAGTTTAAATGCATAACATCCATTCATTCCTTCGACAGCAAACAAAAGCCGTTCCGTCGCCGTGACATTAGCATTCGCGCTGCAATCGGACGGGACCCCCCCCCAGCGGGCATCTCGGCCCGACTTGCTATCAGGCGGAGGAAGGGGTTGAACTTCTCTCTGCGATTACAACGGAAGAGAATGTTTTTTTTATGTACTATGTCATTCATTACACATAATTACAATAACTTAAAAATGTGTAATTCATAAATTACATAATCTAAAATGTGTAATTGCACTATACTTCGGCAAACTTTCTTCTCCAACGACGAATTGAAGAAATGGCAGTAGTGTGGGGGTATTAGTTACGAAATGGTCACTAGAATTTCTCATTTAATTGGCAATCTAACTTTTTCAGTAGTGATCCGAGGGTATCGCCTGTATCTGGATCTCTGCTTAGCTTGTCGAATTGTCTATTATATTTTTAGGAGAAAATCGGCGAACAGAACTACTGTTCGTCCTTCAACATATTGAGACGACAAAGATATGAACAAGGAATGTGTTTGGAATGTTGTCATTAGTGCTTGTTGCGCACCTTCTGCTTCAAGCAGTTCATTATGCAGAGGGGGGAAGAAGGTCATCGTTCACAAAAATGTACGTGAATAAACGTAATATGTGGAAGAGTGAGGCCCTTAAGATCACTTTATAAATCTGCATCATATAATATTCTAACCTTTCCAATTCTGTTATTCATACCTAGATTAATCATTCGATCACATCAAAGTCACGGAAAGACCGCCTGTATTTTCGGACAGAGAAAAATGAGAAGACGGAAATCATGGGCATCTGAAAGACGGATGTATACAGGTAAATACCAAAATCTTTTATATCTATATTTCGTAAGCAAGTACGCTCACAAATAACCCTTCCTCAACTTTTGAAAATGCCTCAGCATAATTGAATATAAGAATCCATAGAATCGTTCGCAAAACAACAGACAGATAGATATATAGAGATAGAGATCGGTCTTGCAAAACAATCTGGATGTAAGGAATACGACATCCGTCCGATATACACATGAGCATACTTTGGTAATGGTGAGTGCAAACTACAGAAATAGAAAAAAACGCGCGAATCAATTAAAGTCTCGTACCATATTTGGTGGTTTAAAAAGTTGAAATGCAACAATAACGCAAATAAGAAGCAAAGTTATTGTATAATCAACCTCTACTTATAGTTACACGTTTTTCAACGAAATCCTTAACCATTCCTTTACTGGTACCACGTACAACCTCACTGTCTCTTGTGACGAAAAGATGATATAACTTTCCTATACAATGCACAAATATTTAAATCATACAAACATATAGTAACATAAGACATATAATTGCACAAAACATAATATTATTATTCGTTCACAACTTCGAACACGAACTTTATGCAATCATTACATTGATTAACTATTAATCTGATGATTTCATAAAATAACTACCTCTTTTGTCAATATTGTTGTGAAGAACTTTCATTAAATAGTACTTTAATGATATACATATAATGGACTATACCACTACAATTTAAGCAATCATGAATATCGTCCATCAATATAAAACCATGCACTTATTTCATACGACTATCTATATAGAACCACTTATATATTATCAGACCGATATAATAATCTTCCAACAAATGATGTATGGAAATGAGTCTTCAAATAATATAATAATATAGATAAGAAGCTCAATCTAAAACCATGCACGTTGAAAACAATATTTATAACAACTTTCTACTTATATCACATCTTTACAGATGATGTACGGATACTCTTAAAACAGAGCTAACACTCGTAGACAAAAAAATCGTCGGCAAATTAGTTATGAAAGAGGAAGGTAAGATTGATGAAATCAAGTCGTAGCATGAGACACGAGTTAAAGCAAAAAGAATCAAAGTTGAGCTGCGTGGTGCGCCATATTGTTAATCTTACGCTACGGGTTATAATATAGCTTAGAAGATAGTACACGCTGGATCCAACTAATCAAAGTCAGACAATTCGTAAATGCAATAATTATTCGAAATCAGATATGTCAAATACATTAATATTCATTAATTCAGTAGAGATGGAGCAGAGTGTTTATACTTATCAAGTAGGACTCAAAGTAATTGTGCTATAATCATCACAGTAAAGTATCCCTTCACGTGTCATTAGTGGAGATCCCGTAAGTGTACATATCAGAGATCCGTAGTGTGATACGTATCCGGGAAGTGGCCGCGTTTTACATACCCTATC